TGCCAGAGCTGTGGCATCCAAACTAAAACTGTTAGTGGTGCTAACTTTTTCAGGTCCATATTCCTAGTGATCCTAACTGTCATCTTTAAACACAGAGAATTAGACATGCTCATATTCCTAGTGATCCTATCATCTTTAAACACAGAGAATTAGACATGCCCAAACTCTGCATTCTAGGCAGGGACACCCAAATAATTAAAATAATTGTGTATTGGACACCTAAAGGGTATATGTGTAGACAAGTACATTCTACTTGAATTATTTTTTCATTTATTCTCATTTTCTTTATTATTTCTATTTTTAGTGGTACTGGGGTTTTGAACTCAGGGCCTTATGCTTTCTGGACAAGCACTCTACTCCTGAGCCATACTCCCAGCCCTCATTTATTATTAAAAGTCAAATGGGGATTAAGTGGGAGTTTGTACATAAAAGTAACCTTTCATTGAACGTGTGTGTATGTGTGTGTGTTTGTATAGAGTCATTCCTTACACTGAAATTTTAAGTGTATCTTTAAGGACATGAGGATGAAGCTGGGCGCCAGTGGCTCACACCTGTAATCCTAGCTACTCAGGAGGCTGAGATCTGAGGATTGAGGCTCAAAGCCAGCCCGGGCAGAAAAGTCCGTGAAACTCTTATCTCCAATAAACCACCAGAAAATGGGAAGTGGCATTGTAACTCAAGTGCTAGAGTGCTAGCCTTGAGCTGAAGAGCTGAGGGATGGATGGCACTCAAGCCCAGAGTTCAAGCCCCACAACCGACAAAAAAAAAAAAAAAAAAGAAAAGAAAAGAAAGAAAATGAGGATGGCTTGATGGTCCTGACATAATGGTATCAGTCATAACTATTATCCTAAAATTATGTATGCAATAGACAAACTAGGCTGTTTTGGCAATTGCTACACTTCCTTCAAAATTCTAACTTTTTTAAGTACTAGGATTTGAACTCAGGGCTTTGGACTTGCTGGGTGTGTGCTCCACTACTAAGCCATGACTCCATGACTTTGTTCAAAGTCTTTTTTCATCCTCAGTGTTAATCCTTTTCTTTAAAATTTTTTTTTTGCCAGTCCTGGAGCTTGAAACTCAGGCCTGGGCACTGTCCCTGAGCCTCTCTGTGCTCAGGCTAGCACTCTACCACAGGTCACAGCACACTTCCAGCCTTTTCTGTTTATATGGTACAGAAGAAGCAAACCTATGGCTTCATGAATGCTGGGCAAGCACTCTACCACTAAGCCACATTCCCAGTCCCAGTTTTGATCCTTAAGCAATTATAATCAGATTTATGGCAAATGCCTCTAATAAATACTTTTCAAACTAATTTCAACTTTTTTCATGTTAATTTTCTTTTGGATTTTTCTTATAAAACTTTGTAGCTATTTTCTGCAGTGTAATCTAACAAGGCATCCTGAGTACTATTTTAAGAATGTCAAAACAAACAAAATTAAACTAAAAAAAAAAAGGACTCCATGATAGCCAGGCTCCACCTATAGTCCTAACTACTCAGAGGCTGAGATCAGAGGATCAAAGCCAGACAAATCCAAGACACTCTTTCCTGCAACTAACCAGCAAAAAGGTGAAAGCAGTAGCTCAAATGAGAAAGTACTAGCTTTGAGTGAAAAAGGAAAGGGAAGCACCTAAATCCTGAGTTCAAGCCCCTATACCAGAAGAAAAGAACCCACAGAAGCTAGTTTATCCTTAGCCAGAATACCTTCAAATTGACCAACACAATAACTAATCCTGAGGTAATGAACAACCAGACTACAACTTTGACCAGTAATTATGCATACCTTGCATCCTCTGCCCTAATCCTTTCTGTATTTCATCCTAAAACTTATGTCCATAACCTACAGATGAGTTGAAATACTTAGTCTCCCTCTGCCCTCATGTGAAGCTAATAATGCCTTCTAGGGTTTAGGCTCATTTTCTCTGCTGATTAAAGAATTAAAGGGCAGAAAGGTGTTTAAAGCAGAATAGAGCAGATTTGTTTGAAAGAAAAAGAAGCAACAAAATGGAATCCTTGTGCAAGGAGAGGTCCTGGAGCCAGGTTTCTACAGTTTCTCCCCCAGGCTCACTATATGTGATGTGCCTGACTCACACTCCCAGGAGGTACCCAGGAATGGCTTAGGCATTTCTAGCTTCATGCTACTAACAGACATAGGCTTTTCTTTAGCATATGAAAACAGAAGGGAAACTTCCATGGAATCTTCTGTTTCCTGAGAGGTACCCACACAGCAGCTACTTCTGATTAGGTTAGTTTTTGGCCCTTGGCAAGTTCCAGCTGCCCAAATACATTAGCAAATAAATACACATGTCCATTCACAGAAAATGATCCCCAAGTCCAGGTAACCAAGCCACAAGAGTGAAAAAGACAAGGCAAAAGGAAAAGTAACTAACTAAATTATTAATAATTGTATCTTTGCTATTTTCCTGATGGTACAGAAAATATGTTTAAAAGAACTCTTTTCTAAACTAGGGCCTGTCCATAAGCAATAACCTCGGCTGTCAAAACAGCTACTACTTCTGTACTTGTGATACATTTAATGTATAGAAACAAAATTAAGAGTTACTTGCAATACCTTATATTTACATAATTCTGGCAAAAGTATACAAAATATCAAGAAATTAAATAAATTCTCTTTGCCCCTTCAAGTATTTTTGGTGTTCTGAGCTTGTTGTTTTTGTGCCAATATTGGGGCTTGAACCCAGGGTCTGGGTACTGTATTTTACCTTTTCTCTCAAGGCTAGCACTCTACCACTTGATCCTCAGCTCCACTTCCAGCTTTTTTGGTGCATAATTGGAAATAAGAGCCTCATGAACTGCCCCAGCTGTCTTGAAACCAAGATCCTCAGATCTCAGCCTCCTGAGCAGCTAGGATTATAGGTACCCAGCCAAGTGTTTATGTTTTTAATGAAAAATAAAATCTAGAACCTTGGATTACCATGCATATTTCTTCCTTAGCCTCCTGGAGGCTTATAGATCCTTCTGTCACTGTTCTGCACCCAGCACACTAACTGACCTTAATTCAAAAGCAGGATTGTTACCTTCTATGCAGCTACAAGACTGCTCTTTGAGTGCCCTCTGCTGGCCACAAGTGAAGCAGGAAAAATTAGACTAAGAATTCCAAGAAGAAAACTTGGAGCTAAAGGGAACACATTTTGAAAGAAAAACAAAGCTAGTTTTTTTTTTATTTCCCAGCAATTTTGGTCTCTGAATTTCAGAAAAGATGTTGCTAATAGAACAAAATGTGTTGAAAGTAGTTTGTAGAAGTCCCAATGCCGTGGTTCAGAGAAGTAAAGTGAAGTAATAATAATAATAACAACAACAGCAGCAGGAACAACCACCTAAAACCTAACAGCAACAAAACAAACAATATGATTAAGAAATAGAGAAGGGGGCTGAGCATGGTGTCTCAAGCATGTAACATGGGAAGCTGAGATTGGGGGATCAAGGTTCAAGGCCAGCCTGGGCAAAAAGATTTTTTTTTGTCAGTCATGGGGCTTGAACTCTGTGCCTGGGTGCAGTTCCTCAGCTTTTCAGCTCAAGGCTAGCACTCTACCACTTGAGCCACAGCACCACTTCCAGTTTTCCCAGGAACATGGGAAATACAAGTAAGAGAACTGAAGTCCACATTGGCCTGGACGTAAAGGAAAATACTAACTCAAAAATAACCAACAAATGTAAAGAAAATGGAGGTGTAACTAAGTGGTAGAGTGCCTGCCTAGCATGTACAAGATCCTGAATTTGATCCCCAGTGCTGCAAAAAATAAAACAGATGTTTCTAAAAGGAGATACACAAATGGCTAGAAAGCTCATGAAAAAAAAAGCTCAACATTACTAGTGGGTAAATTAGGAAGAAGCAAAGCAATAAACAATACCTCATTAGAATGTCTACTAGCAAAAACAAAGACAAAACAGCAAAAACTAATGTTATCAATGGTGTAACAAGAAGTTATAACTGTTGTTAGGAATGCAAGGTGGAAGCCATTATGGAAACAGTTCTGTATAGAAAGTCCTCAAAATTTAGAAACAGAATGTTCATATTTCTATATGACCTATCAATTCCACTTCTGAGTATATATCTAACAATAAACAACAACAACTGATAACTGTGCCTTTTTATTAAAGATAGGGTCTTGATACACAGCCCAAACTAACTTTGAACCTTGAGAACCTCCTACATCAGAGTCCTGAGTGCTGGGATTATAGGAAAGCCCTTGAAAACAGGGTCTGGAAATACCTGTACTCTCATAGTTACACTAGCATTATTCACAAAAATCCCAGTGACCATCAATGGATGAATGAATAGATACACGTGGTCTGTACATATAATACATTTGGACTTTAAAAGGAAGAAAACTTACCAGCTGTGGTAGGTTGTACATACCTATAATCCCAGTGCTCAAGAGGCAAGGGGAAGGAAAAGAAGGAAGGAAGGAAGGAAGAAAGACAGGCAAGCACTCTACTACTTCAGTCACACCTCCAGTCTTTTTACATTTGTTGGTTATTTTTTTGTTTGGTTTTTTTTGTAAACTGTATTTTTTGTCTTTTCTTTTTTTGGTACTGGGGATTGAACCCAGGACTTTGCACTTGCTAGGCAAGTGTTTTGCCACTGACTTACAACCCAGCTCTGTTGGTTATTTTTGAGGTAGTGCTTTCCTTGCTTTGCTGAGCTCCTTTTTAGTAGGCAGCCTTATTCCTATGTGACACCCCACTATCCAGAGCCGTTTCCAACAACAATAAGATACTTATAGACAGGAAAGACCCTGAGCATATTCCCCATTATTTTGCAGTTCTTCCTAACTTGAATCTTGAAAAAAGTATCTAACAATTCCTTCAAGGTGGAATTTCTTTCTACACTGTGAATGACTTAGTATTTTCTGCTTGTCTATAGCATTACCTCCATAGCATACAGTGGAACAATTATTTATTTCACTCTGATGGTTAAGAAAGGATAGCAACATAGCTTAAGTCAAGGCTAACAAGTAACTATCCTGTCAGTTTTTTAAAATTAAAATAAACCAATGTTTATTTCAACTGTTGAAACAAAAACGTTCTTGCCTGCACTTAGCTTTGGCTGGGACCTTGGAAATGAAGGCCAAGGTGCTGATGACACAAGTTACCAGTGTAGCATCACCCCCCCTTCAGCCCAGGGGGACATTGCAGTATGTATAGGAGTATTCAGGACCCTACCAAGCAAGTCCCAATGGGTGGCTTTGAACAAACTGGCTGCTGTCTGGGAAGGCTCCACACAGTAGGTCTCCCAGGTTCCCCGAGGGCTCATGGCGCAGTGGCCTGTGAGGTAGTTCTCTTTGTATCTGAAGGCATCTCGGTGTGTGCTTTGAATGTCCCAAGTGTAAACTTCTGGCTGCACATTCAGACCGGCCCCAGGCCAGGTCTGCAATTCAGCTTCTCATCGAACTCTTCACATCTGCAGGGATATTCTCTTCATCCACCGGCTGCTTAGGTTTTAATTGGCTGCTTAGTGTTAAAAAGGAATATCTCAAACCACCTGCCATACTAGTAAGAGAAAACAAAGAAAGTGCAATTATATAACTGAGATTCCACAAGGTCTACCTGCCACATTTGTTGATAGTCTTATAAATACAGCTTAATTTGGAGAGCAACATTCAGACCTCTGCTGTTTTGTCCTCAAGTCAAGATTGTTTAATGAGAAATTTTCCTCTTATTCATAAACATTTAAGGGCAACTCTAAAATGAGCAATTCTAAAGTAGAACCTCAGAAAATAAAGACAGTTTTTTATTGTTGCTATTGTTGTTGTTGTTGATGATGAAGATGAAGATGATAGTTTTGATTTGTTTTGTGCCAGAAGTGGGGCTTTAACTCAAGGCCTTACACTCTCACACTTGGCTTTCTTGTTTATATCTGCTGCTCTTACCACTTGAGCCATACCTCCAGTCTGGCATTTTGCTGGTTAAGTAGAATTGGAATCTCCCTAGCTTTTCTTCCTGGGCTGGCTTCAGTGATCTTCCAGATCTCAGTCTCCTGGGAAGCTGGGATTATAAGCATGAGCTACCGGTACCCAGCTTGGGTTTAGTCTTTTGGTTTTTTTAAAAATTGAATAAACTATGTATAATTATCCTCTAAGAGTGTCCTAAAATGTGTTGCAAAAGTAGCCTCATTAATCCTTACAGCATCTAAGGGCACAGCACTTTGAAAGAAAGTTAATGAGACCCACTTGGCAAGAGGAAGACAGATAACTTAGGAGACCTTTGTGTGAAGTTGTGTGAATGGAGTTCAAGTCTCAGACATTCAGATGTTCATGATACATGATCCAGTGGGGCTACCCAGGAAATCGTCATAAAAATAGAGGAAAGGGCATATGCATATGCATATGACCAACCTGATTAAAGTATGATGTATACAGGAGTGAGATTCCATGAAGTAACCCTTTTGAACAAACAACAGACAGATTTTTTTAACAAAAAATTAATTCCAGGAAGCTGAAACGTGTCTTGACTTAGGTGGATGGGGGCTAAAAGGAAGGAGGTAGACAAATGAAGAAAGGGATGGGGTATGGATTCCATTGGTGTTATCATATTCAAGTACATATGTGAAAAATGGAACTAGGAAACTTCAGGAAACAGGTGACAGGATGGATGAGGAGAGAGAAGATGAAGGAGGGACAGACTCTGATCAAGATGCATTCTATACCTAAATTGACATGTTCAGTTACTGTACCTATTAACTGATTTGTTGAATGGTAACTCCTTTATACCACTACTTAATAAAAACATAATTTAAAAAAACTTTCTACACTATTTGAAAATAATAATTATAGAAAAGCTGGGCTCATGTCTGGAATCGTGGCTATTCAGAAAGCTGATAGTTCAAAGCCAATCTGGCAGACAAATCCAGAGATTATTATCTCCAATTAACAAGTAGAAAGCCAAAAGTAGAGTCATGCTCAAGTGATGAGTGCTAACCTTAAGCAAAAAAACCAAGAGAGAGAAAACGGCTCTGAATACCACCCCAGCAAGTACCCACTTACTAAGCAAGGTCCCAGAACCAGAGAACGAGTTCCTATTTTGGAAAAAGAGATTATCCACACTATCACTCATTACATAAATACTTCATTTTTTTCCCCTAAGAACTGGTCCTGTGGTAGCATAAAAGCAAAATTTAGAAGACCAGAGGAATTAGGGTTGGTGAGGCTCTGCAGCTCAGTGCTTGCCCAACATGGTTATGGCCCTGAGTTCAATCCCAGAAGGGCAAAACTAGAAAATGTAACATCTTTCTTTGTACTTTTATCACTTTCATCAAATGTCTGATTTTCCTAAAATGAGTTCATTTAAACATTTGACTCACCAAATATTTAATCCTACAAAGTTTAACAGGGAGAAAATGTAGTCTCCACCTACTAACATCCCAATGTAGGCAACAGACACATTCTGCAGATAAAGAGAGACAATTTGTCAGTAAAAGGAAAAGGTTTAGGAGACAGCATATCACATGGTAAAACCTAACACTGGACATTTTAGTTACATTGCATGGTGATTTTTAGAAGTTTGTGAAATGCTGAATAAGTAAATGAGAAGCCATTATGGGTAGGTTTCTAATGAAATGAATAAACGATGATATAATAACAGAACTCCCAAGCCGGGCACCGGTGGCTCATGCCTGTGATCCTAGCTACTCAGGAGGCTGAGATCTAAGGATCATGGTTCAAAGCCAGCCTGGGCAAGAAAGTCTGTGAGACTCTTATCTCCAATAACCTACTCAGAAAACCAGAAGTGGCACTGTGGCTCAAGTGGAGCACTTGCCTTGAGCTGAAAAGCTCAGGGACAGTGCCTAGGCCCAGAGTTCAAGCCCCACAACCGAAAAACCAACAGAAAAATAAAAAAACAGAACTACCCCATTTTCAAGCAAAAACGGCAAAGTTGAGTTGTAATCAGCTTGCCCAATCCCTTCTTTTACTATCATAGGTAGCAAATTTTAATCATATTGACAGTAAACATCTACAGAGTAGAGACATCTAATAAATTCCAATCAGTGCTCGGTCCTATGGAATCTAGAAAGCCACTGGATAGCTGAAGCAAGGTTTTCTTGATCACTCTTGAGTTCACATGACCAGAAAAAGAAAGCTATGAAATGGTATTTGGGCTATCTCCACTGTGTATATGTGGGGAAGGGGGGAGAGGGGTGGATACTGTCTAGTGTGCAGCATGTACTGTGTACCTGTGTGGTCAGATTACATACACACAAATACCTAACCTACAAGTTGACCACAGGCCTAGCTGGAAACAGTTTGTCACAGTAAGGTGATCATAGATATCATAGATATTTTGGGTCTTTTGTTTTTCTCAGTTTCTACTTCTTTTTCCCAAATAATTCCCTCCCACTCATCCCCAATTTGAAAGTAATAATTTGTCATTCCTTTGGTCCCCCATGTTTTCATGAGCGCATATTAATTGTACACTATGGGGATTCATTGTGATATTTCCATATATGTATATAGGCATTGTGATAGCTCCATGTATGTCTATCTCTCTTTGGTATTGAACTCAGGGCCTGATGTTTGCTAAACAGGCACTTTACCACTTGAGCCATAGCTCCAGCCCATTTTTGCCTTGGTTATTTTTAAAGTAGAAGGTCACTTTACGTCCATGAAAACCTGGGCTGCAATCTTGCTACTAGTGCTTTGCTGTGTCACATGCCAAAATACCCAACCATATTGGTTGAGATGGAGTCTTGAAAACGTTTATGCCTCTGTTGGCCCCAATCTCTTGTTCTCCACTTCCCAAGTAGCTAGGATGACAGGCTTGCACCACTGTGCCCAGATACTTTTGATCATGGTTTCCCTCTCCATTATTCTTTCTTATCCCCTCCCCTCCACCCAAGACCTCCCTTTACTTACATATTAGGCTAGAAGAGGTAAGAAGGGGTTTTAGCCCTAGCTAAGATGGACACGTCTCCATTCTTACTGTTTGTTTGTTGACAACCACAATGAAAGCAAACCCAGTTTCTATCTTATAGTTTGGATTTCAGTCCCCCAGGCCTGTTGCTCATCACAAGGCTGTGTCCACTTACCTTGATGGCTCCAACCACTGCTGTGGTCAGGGCAGAGTTGTAGTAACTGCACAGAACCGTGGCATACATCAACAGAAACCTGGAGCAAGGAAATAGACTTCTGAGTGATCACTAGCCATACTAGATAGGAAGAGTAATTAAGAGTGGCCTATGAACCAGTGAGGAAACACACATCATGCAGAAAGATTTCATTGCCCAAACTTAAAGATGTCTATCCTCATTGGGTTTATCATAGGAACATAGCCCAACTGTACATTAGCCAAACCACCTCACTCAGGTGTCTGGATTTCTCTATACATTTGCCATTATGTTTTTGCCAAGTGGATGTGAAAAAATAGTTGGCTTTCCTTTCTGTTAATGTTGTGACAATTGCTTTTTCTGAAAAGTTCCTATTTTGGCCAGGTGGCTTGGCCCTTGTTAATAATATTTTAGGCACCTTGGTTTCCTGAGTACTTTAATTATGACATCCTATTAGAAGCTCCTTGAATTTTAGTTATATCCTGTCAATTAAGCCACATCCTTTTGCAGACTGTGGCCCTAAACTCAGCTCATCTGAGCAGAGGGGCTGGCTTGCTGGGTCAGGGAGCAGCCGGCCTGCTGTGGAGGCTTGCTTGCCAGTGTTGACCGATGGCACACCCTTCTGCAGAAGTAATGGTTACCTTGCCAAGTTCCTTTTGAGTTGGTGTCTTTATTCCTATGAGATATTCCATCATCCAGAGCTATTTATAATATGGGGTAATGAAAAGGATTTTTTTTCTAATGACTTGAAATCCTTCACTGAACAGCTATGGTACAGCAGTGGTGTTTGATCCTCCATGTAGCAGAATGTCCCTCAGTGCCCAGCAAAAGCAAATGGTTTCAGGTGGGGCCCAGCAGTGCATGATATCAACTCCATACATGACTTGAGTGTGCGTAGCCAGCTTGAGGACACAAGTTTTAAAAGGGAAAAATCAGTGAAGCAACTCTGGGCTTTAGACACAGTAATGCATTGCTTATATATGGAAGGTACTCCTGTACCCTACCAAAATTTATTCACACATTTAACTTGTCAATAACTACAGAATTCTGACCATGCACTAGACAAGAAAACATATGCACAGAAAAAAAGATGTAGATGCCAGCCAAAGGTGGGGAAATGTGGCTCAAATGGTTATAGCCATGAGCAAAAAAGCCAAGTGAGACCAAGGCCCTGAGTCCAAGCCCCAGTACTGGCACATACAAAACAAAATAAGAAAGTGAATGAATTCTTACTAATTCTAAAAGAAGTTATCTGCAACTTAAGAGAGGTGCAAAACCTCACCCATTCAAATCAGGTGATTAAATGTTGAAAAGAATGATCATTTAAAACAAAAATTGGCTAAGGGTGGCTGGGAATATGGTTCAGTATAAAGCACTTGCCTAACATGCATGGGGATCTGAGTTTGATTTCCATTGGCAATATTAATAATAACAAAAATAACAATAAATGGCCAAGAGTGAAATGTGAAAGACATCCCTTACCTCTTAATTAAATTATCTCAGCTTGCTTTCAGAACAGGTCAATGTGGACCTAAATCTTAGTAGCTGTTACCAGGAGTATGTGGCCCAACATTGCCTCCAATATGGTTGAGCTAAAATAAGAGAACTGTCTCTAACATTCTGGATTGGCTCTACAGGAAGCCCAGTCTTTTTTTTTTCCTAACATCACATTATCTGACCTTTTCCACTTGACTCATACATATACTAGATATTGCAAATAAGGGAAACCATGGGACGGACCTATGTTTCTTTGGGCCTGGCTTACTTCACTTAATATAATTAGGAAAATTAACCCTTAGATATGTATTTTAATGTTTTTTCTTTCATGCATTTGTTTCTAAGATTATCTCTTTGTTGCTTTGTATGTCCCTCCCCCACAGTATAACCCCTGCTTTCACTATATTTGATGTCAGTATAACTTGTGGAGGAGATAGGGAAAAACCAGTTGTTTAAGGATACAGGTGGA